CAAACCAAAATAGCACATGAACATTACCAAACACTTTTATATACGCATAGTTACAAATTTACATTTCAAAAGAAATGTTGGATCCAAGTACATGTATGGATTTCCCAACTATCAAGGAGCTATACAAAAGAATATTAAAACTAGCTCAACTCGGCTTCAAAACATCATAGTTTCCAAAAGGTTATTCCCTGTAAGGAAAACAAAGTAACGAAGGGCGAGCTTACGCTCGTGAGGTACCAACAAGACACACCAGTAAGCAAGTATTAACACATAGTGATTCCAAAGCTCATAAACAAGCAAGTCAATGTAAAAGGAAACAATTGGCTCTCAAGAGCCACTTTCCACTTGCCACACTTGATCTCCAACCCGTTGACACTCCGTCAACCGTTAAAGAGAAGAACAACCTGTAGAACGCCACTTCACTCCATATCCCTTCCACCGAACACCCCCTTACCGAGCCCGAACACCTCACAGTAACACAGAGGGTAATACTCGAGTATATCATAAGATCAAGGAGTTAACACTCCACTCGACTACAGTGAACCCAAGGTTCGTTATCGATTCGCCCAAGCCCTTGCCGACTCGATTCGACTAAGGACCAATGGGGTATGAGTTCAGATAGTACAGTTAAGTTGTTGGGCAAAACCCCAAGCCATGTCAAATCACACATGTATACAATTTCACAGTTGACAGTACCAGTAATACAGATAAGAGATCGAGAGCGATAAAGTACACTCTCGTCTCATTCAAGCCATTCAAGTTCACATAACAAGTATAAACAACCATTTAAGCAGTAGACCTATAATAGTACACTCACCAAGGTAAGTAAGCAAATTCACAAGTTAGCTTCAAGCGTAGGCGTCGGATCACCGGCACGACCTATATAACAAGAATATCACAATTAAGACTCGAACAAGAGTCAAATCCAATCCACACACTACCAAAAATAAGGCCCAATAGAACGTATAAGTGCATAGTCAAGTGAGGGAGAGTCCGGAAATGAAGCTTATGCCCTAAAACCAAAAGACAGTTTTGACGTCATTTAGCGGAACGGACACAACTGGAGCTACACTTATCGGATTGGGGTGAAATTTACACCATTTTGAAGCTATGATAAAGGGTTACAATTTTGAAGTAGGCCACTCAGTCCAATTTGTAGGGTAGCTAGGCCACAAATTCAATGTACCAAACTAGCATCACACGAACAGGTTAACTAACCACAATATGGTTAAACGACCCTAATTCAGGCTACCGAAGCCCAATTAAGGTGTTTCTAGGGCCGTTGAACACTACAACTTTCATGTTTTGGCCAGAATCTAATTCGGTAAGCATCAGGGTGAAAAGTCACGGTCAGATTGGGTGAAATGTCCACCCTGTCCAGCGAACTCTTCCTACGGCAGTCTCCGGTATTTCTATCTTTTCTCAGGTTACACAACTCGTATTGGACTGAAATTTTACAGGCAACTATAAAACATTATTTCCTACAACTTTCATGTTTTAATCTAAGGATAATTTGGCCTCTAACCTAGCCGAATAGAACTGGGTAGAACAGGGTCATTTGGAAACCCTAGAACTGAAAATCCCTCTAAAACCTGGAAATTTCTACAATAAACCACAATAAGCATATAGAGGCTCCAAATTCCTTCATATAGGACTATCAATCCATAGCCAACCACAAGATACCATATAAAACAGAAAATTCCTTAATAAATAGGAAAAATTGAACAACTCAACCATAAGTCACAAAATAATCTACATAATGACATGCTCTACCACTAGAAATCCTTAATTGATCATTAGTAACATGAGAGGGAAGATATTTAACAACTCACCTTTGCAACTCCAAGAAACAAGATTCTTCACAAATGGCTCCACTCATCACCTTAAACTAGCTTAGCAACTCACTTTTGTGGAGAAATTTGGAATTTAACCAGTAGGTTTGCAAGATTCAAGCTAGAAATGAAAGAAAATTGAAGAAGCTCTCTCTCTCTTTTCTCTCTTGTTGCTCAGCCAAGAAGGAGGAAATGGAAGATGATTTTTGGTCTAAATTAGTTTAGTAAAGGTAAAGAAAGACTAGTCAAATGCCAACCTCCAATCACAATGCAACATGTGCCCATTTCAAGCTTATCTCATTTCTTTTGTCTTGCAAGACTTAATTAACTAGCTAACCCCTAATTATCTCATAACACCATGTAATATAATCCTTGTATACAAAGCTTCTCCAAATGAACCACATTTACCGCACTTATCGCACTAGTAGGTCTCGCATCCACTGTACACCACCTTTAACACAGAAAATAACTTATATGGAAAAAAATGTAAAAATCATATGTCCTCATAAAAATTTTCAGAATTTTCATATAAGAAAGAAAATATGGAAATTATACGTAAAAGACTAAAATAAATGCCTAGAAAATAAGAAAATTTCGGGCTCTCACAGTTATCTTTTCACTCCAAAGTCACCTCTTCGCTTTACATTAATGGTTCATTTGGATAGGCACATGACTTGTAACCGAGTTTTACTTGCGAATTCCATTTATTAGGTCTTGGAGTCAAGTCTTAAGTGTTTGCCTTTGATTGTTCTAGGAGGTGCCGGCGAGTAAAGCCACACTTGGGAAGGCAATTTTTTAAATTATCCTTGTTTGATCTGGTCAGTGTACCACTCCCCTGCATTGTTGCTTAATTGGTTCATCTATACTTGAAATTTGTGACATAGATAACTATGAACTCTGTTATTTTGAATGAGACGAGGGTGTACTTTATCACACTCGTTCTCTTGCCTGTGTTGTATAAACTGAAATCTATTACTTGTACTTATTATGAACTTGAACCTGTTACTTGCGCTCGTTATAATGTCGTTTGGAAGTGTGTCCAACGACCTTCCTGTTAAACTTGAGCTCAATCTCATGGGGAGTTAATTAAATCGAGCCAATAAGGGCTTGGTCGAGGTATTTCACAATCCATGAGTGCCTGTTCCTAGGGAATCTTTAAGTATTGAAACTCTTGATTCCGGTATACTCGAATATTACCACTTTCATTCTTGTTTGGCGTTCGGGCCCGGTAAGGGGGTATGATTGGTGAACGGGATTTGGCGTTAAAGTGGCGTTCTATTGGACTGGTTTCCTTATTTGAAAGTTGACGGAGGGTCAACGTAGTCGGATCAAGTACTGTAACAGGGATTTGGCTCCTGAGAGCCACCTGTATCTTTTCTATCTAAGTTGTTTTGCTCATCTCCTTATTTGGTATACTTATGTGATTAATTGAGCATGAAGTTCCTTGGTTCTTGACTGTTATTATTTTTTGTACCTCATTGAGCTTCTAACTCACCCCGTTCCGTTATCCTTATTTTCCTTACAGGGATCTACTTTTAGAACTGTGATTTTGAAGCATAAGTTGAGCTAGTTTAGATATTTTGTATAGCTCCTCAATGGTTGGAACTCTAATTGTACTTGGATTCAAATGTTCCCTTTTGATTTGTAAAACTGCGAATGTGGTTTATCAAAGCGTGTACTCATGTTCATGTGGTATGTTTGGTTTGTATATATCCATTTCAAGGATTATATGAAATTACTTGTATTTGATTGGGCCGTGGTCGGATTGTGACGTGGCAGGCATTATTCACTTTCCGTTTCGATTTTTTTTTATTTTTCGATTTTGTGATTTTTGCTTTGTTTAAGCGCGCTACTGTATTCCGGCACGTTTTGAGTTGTGTATAACTGTCTTAGTAGTCTTAGCGAGAGTTGGGCAGGCGGTCCGCCGAACCCTTTGGTTCGCCTTAGGGTGAGGTGGGGCTGTCACACCCCCTACTCCGTACTTCTTTTATATAAGGCGATACTACTCGAATATGCCAAGTGAGATCTCTCAAATAGATCAAGTTTATACAATTTTTTCTCATGGCTCATCAAGGTTCACGACCAAGCCTATGCCGGTTCGAGTCGCAAGGTCGGCCGATGAGTTTAGGCGTCCCCCACTATTATCAATATAAGCTGATAAGATTCACTCCAATCGACATTCATTCAAACATAGCATGATTCACTATTGCAACACTTCACTTTATGCACTTAGCAAATTCACTTCGTATAATTCAAATATAATTCATTTAAAAGAGAACGAGTGTAGTAAAGTACATACTCGATTTGGCACTTTTAGAATACTCAATTAATGAGAACATTTAAGCACGTAGCAACACTCCATACACTTGATACTCACCAAATCAAAAAGTGAGTAAGTAAGCAAATAAGCCTTTAGTGGTTGGCTTCGAGATTCTCTTCAAAATCTTCTTGAGCACCTGAAGAAATAACAATTATCTATCACTCACAAATACTTACAAACTTCTTGCCAAACAAAAAAGAATATACACTTGCGCAATACTAAGACAATGTCTTAAAAGAACTTTAATATCTCGAAAATCGAGATTCAAAAGTAAGGATTTAAATTCATAAGAGAAACTTGCATCCTCCATGAAGATGAGTTTAAAATGGATGATCAATATCGAAAGACAACGAAAAGTTCTCAAAAACTCATTTTCCAAGAAATCATGAATTTTTAGCTCTGCGCGATAAACTTGGTAAAATCAGATCTTGAGTTCGGTACATCCAAATATGGAAAAACTTTATTACGTTGGAAACTAGATCCAAAATGCTAAAAGTTCCTAGAAGACATTTTTTCAAGATTCTAAACGGAAAGTACTCATTTTTCAACTCAAAATTTCAGTTCCAAGAGGACATGTTTGAACCAGTCTTGATTTTTCAGCCATTTTTGGAAATTCAGCAAAATTCATAGAAAACGAATCAGTCTTTGAAATTTGTAACACAATAAGAGTTTCAAATAGGTTTTCAAACACAACAAACGAAACTAAATTCAGAGTTTTGAGCGTCAAGATAAAATAGCCTAAAGTCGGTTAATTTTCACTACTTTAACAGTGAATTTCCAGATATTCACAGGGAGAGAGGATTGTGTTGTTGAAACATGTCCTCTCTGCTATGCCAACATACCTGTTGATGGCGGCTTCACCTCCCAAAGCTATTTTCATGGAGCTGGAGGGTATATTCGCTAATTTCCTATGGGGGTCGGATGACAACGGCCCCAAACACCATTGGATTCGGTGGAAAGATTTATGTGTTGAGCGTGAAGAATGAGGGGTTGGGCTCCGCCTGCTGGAAGATATTCACCGGGCTTTCTCCATCAAATTATGGTGGAATTTTCGATCCAAGTCGTCCTTGTGGGCCTCATTTATGCATGCAAAGTTTTGCCGGGTAGTGCATCCTAACCTGGTGTTTTCGGAGAAGGGATCAGAGGGGTGGAGAAGGATGGGGAAAGTTCGAGCCTTGGCAGAAAGGAACATTGGATGGATCATCCGGTCCGGGAATGCGAATTTTTGGTTTGACAATTAGCTAGGTTCTGGGCATTTGGCGAATCGATTGGATAGTGTGTCAGACCATAAGGTGGCGGACTTTGTGCAGGGCGGTTCCTGGGACGTTTGCAGGATTTCACAATGGGTACCGCCGGATATAGTTGCAGAGATTGGCCAAATGCACCCACCTGGAGGGTCGCTGCCTGACCTAATGGTTTGGCCGCCGGAGCCATCGGGCCGTTTTAGTCTCAAGACAGCTTTCTCCTTGGTCCGGCATCATGCTAGGCCTTCGCCTCTTTTCAAGCGCATTTGGCACCTAGGGGTACCGTTGAGAGTTTCATTTTTTCTCTTGCGCCTGCTGCGAGATCGCCTCCCCTTGGACTGTTTCGTATGGAAGTTGAGGGTGCAGGGACCGTCTCGATGTTCGTGTTGTACATCTCCTGAGATTGAGACTACGGAGCATGTGTTTTGTGATGGGGCTATGGCACGGTTTGTGTGGCAGTTCTTTGGGGCTCCGATTGGGTAGGTTGGTCAGGGTCTTCGTTTCGCATATGTCTGGCAGCCTGGTGGGAGGGGCGGCATCAGAATAAGTTGTTGAAGTTTGTCCACCAGGTTGTCCCTTTGTTGATCTGCTGGCATCTTTGGAAGGCTTGCAACGGGGTGAAGTACGAGAGCAAGAGGATTGTGGGGGCTCAAGTATGCCATTTGATCTTCTCCGAGATGATACAGTTGTTCAGGATCCAGTTTCCGGGCTGCCGGGTACCGTCATGGTCGTGGGTCCATTTTTATTTGGCCATATCAAAGTGGAAAGCAGGGATCTCACATAGGCTGGTAAAATGGGTGCGGCCTCTCCACGGAAGCCTAAAACTTAACACGGACGGTTGTTCTAAGGGTAATCCTAGTTGGAGTGGAGGAGGGGGGTGTTGCGTGATTGGGAGGGGAGGATGGTGCTGGCATTTTCTTGTTGTTTCGGTTTGGCTTCAAGTGTGCAGGCTGAGGCCCGTTCCCTGTTGGGTGGGGTCAATTTGTGCCTCCAGCGGGCATCGCCATCTTTGACGTTGAAATGGACTCGTTGACATTAGTCCGCATTTTGAATCGTTTAGCTCATTGCCCATGGGGCATCCACACGGAGGTGCAGCAGTTGATGGGGGTAGCGTCTTCCTTTCCACGGATTCTTCACTGTTACCGTCAGGCGAACCAGGTCGCCGATACGTTGGCGAATACTGGATGTCAGCGGGCCCGTGACGATATATACTTGGCGGCATCGGAGTTACCCCGGTTAGCGCGAGGGGCTTTATTTCTAGATAGGCTAGGTATGCCTTCCCTCCGCCAGGTTGTTGTGAGGGAGGGGTAGTTTTTTATTCGAGCATTGGCATTTGTAATTTTGTTCTTCCGATAAATAACAAAAAAATGTTTACACTCTAAAAAAACAAAAAAAAAACAGTGAATTTCCAGATTTGAAGAGCAATGTTTGAGGCATCATTTGGATATCGAAATGATATTGAATTTATACTAAATTTGGTACACTTAAACTTCCATATTTGGACTTTCCTATCAAGTTTTAGGCAAAAACTCACACGGGAAGGCAGTTAACAAAATGACTAAAGTTCGTGAAATTTTCAAAGCAAATCTGTCAACCCACTCTTTCTTTCTTTCCAAAGGTTTTTGTCCAATGAAATCAATCCCAATTCTTTGAAACCAAGGTTCTAGAAACATTTGATAAGAAATTGACATAGAAATTTTCATGGCAAAACATCCCAAAGCAGATTTGACCATTCGGCCAACAAGAAAGGAAAAAGTTTCCAGTTTCCAGCTTTGTTGCACTTTCGAAATCAGACCACATCTCACTCAATACAAACTCAAATTAGGAATGATTGGTGGCGTTGGAAACTAGGTTCAAAATGATACATTTCAAAAAAAATTCGAAATGCAAACAAGATAACCACAGGACAGTTTCGGCCAGCTCACATCTCAAACCTTTTCCAACTTTCTCTCCATATTCTAACTATAAATCTCTTATATAACACATAAACACAACAATCAAGCATTTTAATCCTTAAGTCAGCTACCTATAATCCACCTCAAGATTGCTAGCCTAGAGATTAAAACAAGAATTGAAATTCCTCAAGTCCTCTAACTTATGTCTTGCTTAGGGTTGTAAACCCATGCAAACTAAGCTTCATTCTTGAAGAAATTAGAAAGATTGAAGAAGGTAAAGGGTTACCTCTTGAACCCTAGATGATACCAGAATTTTTTTCACCACAAAACCTCAAAGAAATTCTACAAGATGATGTCTTTCTCCAAGCTAGAACTAATCTCCAAGTAGTATGTAATTTGGGTGAAGATTTGTGAGGGAAATGGAACAAGATTTGGAGCAAGATGAAGAAGCTTTCTTCCTTCCTTTTCCTTTGCTGTTTCAGCCGACCGAAGAGAGGAGAGAGTGAGTGGTTTGAGTTGTGTGAATCTTGTCTTGGAAGCTTGAAGAAATTGTGGCCAAAAGCTTTGCAAAAGTCAACTTTGAATAGGGTTCAAATAGTGTCCCGTACTACAACTTTTCTCTCTTATTTGTTTCACTTGTATACTAATCCTCAACTATAATTCCTTTAACACTGTATTTACTCACTCTTATGAGTCTAGTATAACTTTCTCAAATCTCCACTTTATCATTCCTTCGCGCAATACGCGAACTTTCTACTCGCATGCGATAAGGCGAAATTTTTGAACTCACCCACTTCTAATCCCTTAATTAACTTTTCTTAGTCTACTATTGATCATTCTTAATTTTTCAAGATAATTGTACTCTCGGATCGAATATTCTATTGAAAAATGTGTATTCGCTATTTCTTGCTAAACGAGCCGCAGAAAAATTAAATTTACTAACAGGACGTTTTAAAAGTATAATTGAGACATTGTTCCATGTAAATAGATTTAAAATGGTTGAAATAAATTATTCGAAGAAAACGGATGAATAATTATTTAAATAAGTCAGAAAAATAAGATAAGAATAAGAAAATTTTCGAGTTCTCACATGAACAATGTTGGATTAATGAAACATCTGGTGCGAAAAAATATATATATTCTGAACTAGGGATTCAGTGGATAGATACAAGAATTAGAGCTTTGAAGTTGAAAAGAACCACAATCGTGGATCCCAAGACAAGAAAGCTTGGGGGATCTCTGAATGTTCCTTTTGTCCAAGAGTTGGCCAAGAAAAATCCCTTTTCTGTTCCAACTCGTTACATACGCCCCGACAAAGACCAATATCCAACCATCTCTAACGGTTCTGCTATGGAGGTAAGTGATTTGGAGCTTCAGAAGCTGCATTCTGCTTGCAAGGAGTGGGGTTTTTTCTAGTTATATATACAAGGATTGAATGTATGACAAACATATATTTGTGTGACAAGCTATTGTATATTTGAAATAGTTTGATTATACAACTTTTTTACAAAACTAAATTGTCAAGTGTTGTTATTTCGATGTTTGAACCGTCGATTTTGTGTAAGGTTTGAATCCTAACTAACATCCTAGAAAGGAACTTTAAATTCCCCTTGGTGGCCACTAGACCAAAACTCTATGGTTACCTTTTTCAAGGTTTGAGACCATCCTACTTTTTTTTTGTATCGAAAGAAAAAGAAACCATCTTCAAATGTAATCAAAGTCCTATGAAAAATGAATCCGTTGATGACTTGATCATCTTTTACCTGAATTTTACGAGTGCAAATCAGTTAAAAGTATACATATGCTTATATGCTGTTCCATCCAGACGCTATTACTTATGAGTAACTGTCAGCAGTTGATTAATCATGGAGTTAGCTCTTCATTGGTGGAGAAATTGAAATCAGAAGTTCAAGATTTTTCCAATTTGCCGATGGCTGAAAAGAACAAATATGGTCAAGAACCAGGAGATGTAGAAGGATATGGGCAGGCCTTTGTCAAATTAGAGGAGCAAAAGCTTGACTGGGCTGACGTGTTATACATGATCACTCAACCAGAAGATTTAAGAAAACCTCATTTATTCCCTAAGCTGCCTCTTCCTGTAAGGTATATTTGACCAACCATGCACAACACACACAAAACAGGGAATTTAAATCAAGTGTTCTATCTTTAGTCTTGTAATTCTTTAACCATGCACTTTTAGGATAAAAACTGTTTTTGACATGAACTAACATACGTACTATGCTAAAATTTTAGCCAAACTGTACTACTAGTTACTGAAATTTCTTGAATGAAAAAAAAAAAATTGGATGGCCGAAAAGAGACATTCATGAAAATTTAATGGCCACTGATGCACTTTGCCAGATGGTTTTGATTGAAGCAATTCAATGATACCATTTAATTTAACGTTTTCACATCTATCTAAATTTGAACGCTAATGCATCAGATAGATGAGATTTTTTAGTAGGTAAAGTTGATTTTTCTGTAAAATTATCTACTGAGTAAGATAGAATAAAAGAATATGTTTATGTGATAATTTTTAAAGTTAACATTTCAGATTTCTGTTTAGGGAAGTATAAAGATCCAGAAATGGCTGAATACATGACGACGAAAGGTCAAGCAAAAAAATAAGCTGAAATGCCAATGAGAAATTAATTACCCCGCCGCCCTCCATCCACTAGCTTCCAAACCAAATAAAAAGAGAAAAATATATTTAGAACAACAATATGAATAATTCAAAACATTAACCTATTGTACATATGCTAGTAAGTCCACTAAGGCTTAAGAAGCTTTCTTTTTCACTTTTTGTGAGATTGAGAAAAATAATGACCTGCCAAGAATTTCCGTTTGTGTTTTGATCAAAGATGATTTTTTTAATAAAATATCATATTTTCATTAAAATTTACACTAATGGTAGAAATTATATCATCAAATATATACAAATATAAAATAACAGATCTAAAGAAAGGATACTACAGATATGAAGAACAATAAAAATTACATTATAAAGCTTCAAATTTAAAAAATAAGATAAAATAATTGTAGCTCCATGGATATCTATGCATGGTTGTAATCGTCAAATCTGCTGATTAACGGCTTCGAGTCCATATATTATAGTGAGATCTACTAAATAGATCTTAGAAATTTCAGATCTAATAATCAAAATCCGAAAAACTCAAATGTAATAAAAGAAAATTGAAAAAATTATCAAAAACTCTTACTAGGAATGCTTAGGAGAGAATAAAATTCCACTAAAAAATTTAGGAGAGAAGAAAACTCTCACTAGACAACTCTAAGGAGAAAAGATGACAGGTGTCGAGCCTGTGTAATAATAATTACATTCTTAAGAAAAATACAAATTTTATATATAGCGGTGAGTAGGGTCGAATCCACAGGGACTGGGGATAAGTATGGGGGATTTTTGGAGAATGTAAACTAACTAACTAACTAACTAATGAAACAACTAATAGAAATAAACAAGAATTAATCAATAACCAATACGACTCTGGCCAAAGGTGCAACTTTTTAGACACGGTTTATTCAACTAATTATCGATGCAAAGATAATTCAATTACTCATTAATAGATTGATTATAATTATCATACACGCGATAAACAACCAGTCTTTCCTTACTTTTTCGATAGTCAAGGTACGACCGTTAACTATTTCTCTAACCAAAAAATAACCCTAGGTACGATTGTAGGATTTAATTTCTAGATTGCATTAAGAATTAAAAAAGCCCAACCCTAACTAACAAACATGCTAGAGGGTTTGTTTAAATTAGATCATGCGTTTTCCTAACATGGAACCAATCACGTTAGTCGCCACTGGTATTAATGAATTGAACAATTACGGATTCAATCAATTAATCTGACAGTAGATTATTAGGTTAATTTGAATATCGGGCTCTTGACATTCAAATAACAAAACAATTATAAGAAGTTAAACTAGAAAACGTACAAATACCAATGAATAAAATAAATAAGTAAAATAATTCGATCTCACAGACGTTTGGAACTGAGTCTTCAAGTTGACCTTCGACTAAATGAGGAACTTAGCCACGCCTCATAAAGAAATTTCCACGCGAATTAGTAGAATTCATGAATATCAAACTTTGTTCTTAAAACAATCTAATATGTTTCATGCAAGAAGAGTAAAGGCATGAAGAAGGAATTATCTCCTGTCTTGCGGCCTCGGGATGAAAACGAATTGTGACAGCTCCACCTCCTCCTAAGGCGAACCAAAGGGTTCGGCGGACCGCCTGCCCAACTCTCGCCGGGACTCACTCACTCACTACAGTTTTCAAATATAATACAATGTAAATCTCAAATATATATCAAATTCTCCATGAATTACATATCATAAGCGAAGCGAATACTAGTTCCTAAGCGTGGAACGTACACATACATTCGTTCAATTCCAAACCTTCATACAATCCTAACTATTACACAAGATGAATTCCAAATTCCAACCATATAGGAGATAAACCATCCAGTCATACTAATAACTCATTACACGCGCTTCCTTTGCCTCGAGCCCTGTGGGGAGAAAATATATTTTGGGGTGAGCTAGAAGCTCAGCGAGTGACCAGTGAAATCAAGAATCAAGTACATTTCACAGTAATGCATATAGATGTTGGCATGATTCAGTGATCAAATGAAAGTTTATTGCTCTTGTGAGCCAGTAAAATCCTCGTACTTAGAACTCCAACGCTCAAACAAATCAATTAACAATCAAATAGCAATAGGGAGCCTTTGGTGCTCCAAATAACCAGTGGTGGAGACGTTGGTTCTAAGCACACGATTTTTCAAGCACTCATTGGAGCCAAATTATGTCATGGCACACACACAAATACAAATGATATGCAATCGAGTAACCAATGCAAGAATTAGTTTGAAAAGTAACTTTGCAAATAGTTATGAAACTACTCACCAACCACAACTCATGAACCATCCATCATAGATCATTGCCTTGATCAAGTCCAAGCTCTAGATTACAAATATCATGTCAAGCAAAGGGAATTCTAAAAGCATCAAGTTCCTATTACCTTTGGGCATTTTAATCACAATTGAAGTTACACTTCTCCGATTGAAACAAATCTTATGGCGTTACAAAACTAAGACATATACCAACATTTCTTATGAAAACCTCCAAAGCCAAATTATACATTCTCACGGTCAAAAAGCAAAATCTTAGAGAAAAAAAAAAGGAAACTGTCCGTGAAACAGGGCTTAAGGGCAGTCACGAGTATTTCGGTCATTTCATAGGTTACAGTCCAATCGATCTGAAATTTTGCAGGTAGGTAGCTAACTCAAATCTCTACAACTTTCATGTTTTGGGCAAAGGTTGATTCAGCCTTTAACATGGTCGAACATACAGTGCAAAAACAGCGTAGATTTGAAACTCTAAACTGAAATTAACCCCACAAGCAGAAATTTTCCTTAGGAAATCACATCTAGCTTATACAAGTTTCATTTCACACACCACTAAGCCATCAATCCATGGCATATGTTTAAGCATCAAATAAAAACAGAAAATTCACCAAAAATTCTGAAATATATCAAACTCTACTTCAAATCATGAAATCCTCCACAAAGTAGCATATAACCATCACTAATATCAATTAAGGCTAGAAATTCCACCTTAACACTAGAATAACTTCTACTGATCACATACATGCCAAAATCAAAGATGAAATACTTAGATAAAGTCTAAAAATTAGTGAATATCATCATCCCAACTTCCAATTCACAATAATCTCCATAAATCATCAAGATCAATAAGTTAATCACAAGATTAAAGAACAAAAGAAGCTTCTAAGGATTATACCTTCCAATCACCTTGAAACAGGCAAAGCAAACCCTTGTCCTCTCAAAACTTTCCACCCTTACCTTGCTATCACCTTCGATGTGAAGTTAATCGGAATAGATATCAGAAATTGGAAGAAACCACTCAAGATTTAGTGAAGGAATCAAAGGAAAAGAAATGAGGTTTTCTCTATTAGTTTTGCTCCCAAGAGGTTCGGTCAGCTTGGAGGAGAAAGAAAAGTGGGTTTTAAAACCCCAAATGAAGTCAAAAGATGAAACTTAATTATTAAGAAAACTGTCCGCGACAGAATCTGGTCGGATATCCAACCGGAAAGTCGGCCGAATTCAAGGCAGTGGGAAATAAAAAATTTTTCAAAACTCCAGGCCAATCCGGCCAAGTATCTAGCCAAGAACTGGCCAGATTTCCGGCCGGATTCTCCAAAAACATTTTCAACCAGAAATTTTTCTTTCTTCGTCTTTCGGGGCTTCACATGAATAATAGAAGAATCTCCCTAATCTAAACAATGACTAGTCCCTCATCTCGTTGGTTTTTCCACCGAATAAGGAAAACAAAGAGATAAGGCAACTACTAAAGTTTCCTTCTTTCTTGTTTCCTAATGCTAGTAAACTACTAGTCACGAAAGGAAAGACATTGGTTTAGCACATCTTGGAGCCGGATTTGTAAGGATTCTCAAGGCTTCCCACGTGCACGGTATTTTCTCAAGAAAATCACCCTTTTTAGTATTTTTCTGCTCCACTTCCTGTAATTAGATTCAAATACCAAATATAAGTATATTTCAACAATCTCTATTATGTTGCAGGTTGAAATGAAAGATGTGGTTATGTATATGCTCCTTAAACAATTGTTGTTTGGTGGTTATCTGATCTTTGTTGGATAAAAAACAATCATCAATTTGTTGGTGTCTCTGTAAGCAAGATCTTGTTTGCCTATTCGTGTTTTCTCTTTTAGTTTCTTTTTCCTCTGTTAATTATCCAAAGACATATTAGTTCAATTTTCCAGTCCAATGGCTTCATTTCTTTGCACACAATAATATACTAGTTGGTTTCCTCTCAATCATTTTCCCGAGAAATGAGAGCCCTTTCCAATCTAACGGCCAAACTGTTTTTTTTTTTAGCAAATAATAAGGATTTTATTTGATTACTGCGTTCAAACTTGTACACACGGGCAAGTATCCCTCGTCATACTACTATAGTTACAGTATTCAAAACAACTAATTTATCAAGCATTTCCAGTCCACTCCCCTTCCAATGTTGGCATCCTTTTCTTACATAGCAACCATAAAATAAATGCAGATCTTGGCACAAATCCTTTTCCCCAAACTAGCATTGCCCAAGTCACCTTCTCTCTTGAGCCACTAAGAAGCTTTATGGCAGCTTTTGTATGGAATATACCAGATAAACAT